TATATATATATATATATATATATATATATATATATATATATATATATATATATATATATATATATATATATATATATATTCTAAATATTATATTGTGTATATATACATACACACTACAAGACAAAAGTCTTGTCGTTGATCCCAGTTGTAAGAGCAGCAAATAATAACTTGACTTCTAGTTAATCATTTGGAAAAGAGGCAGAAGGTAGATTTTTTTCTCCAATCATCACAAATACTGTAGAAGACCTAGTGGAACCTGCATGGAGCCAACATTCTTAAAGAAATCAGTCAAATTTGGTGAGGGGAAAAGTCATGGTTTGGGGATACATTCAGTATGGGGGCGTGCGAGAGATCTGCAGAGTGGATAATCAGCATCAACAGCCTGAGGTATCAAGACATCTGTGCTGCCCATTACATTACAAACCACAGGAGAGGGCAAATTCTCCAGCAGGATAGCGCTCATTCTCATACTTCAGCCTCCACATCAAAGCTCCTGAAAGCAGAGAAGGTGAAGATGTTCCAGGATTGGCCAACCCAGTTGCCAGACATAAACTTTATTGAGCATGTCTGGCGTAGGATGAATGAGGAGGAATTGAAGATGATTTCAAAGACTGCAGGAACGCTTTCTTTCCCATTCCAGTTGACTTTATTAATCAGTGATTTGAGTCATGTCAGAGATGTATGGATGCAGTCCTCCAAGCTCATGATGGAGTCAGACACAATATTCATTCTGTCTCCACTGCAGCAGGACTTTATATTCTATACTGGACATTATTTCTGTTCAGTGACAAGACTTTTGTCTAAGCAAAGTCAGACCTTACTGTCCTAATTAAATCATTCAAAATCAAGCCATGATCATATTTTATTTTGGTCAAATTAGCGTCATCTAGAAGCCTTTGCCTTTCCTATAAGCCACTTCCGATACTTCTAAAGTCAAGTTATTATTTGTAGAGTAGTGCAGGTAGTGTATAGATTTTACATCATATCTTAAAAATTATCTAAATATATTTTTACATTCTTTTTTTTATTCCAACCAAACTAAAAGATACAAGGCTTTCTCCTGAAAAAAATTATACAAGAGGAAATACTTTGAAAATGTTTTTGGTCTTTTAAACATCGCTTGAGAAATATTAGGGGGGAAATGAAGGGCTAACAACTGTAGATTTGAATAAAAACATGTGAAAGATTTCAGAAATGTTTAATGTTTACATTTTGTAAACATTTTAATGTTTGCATTGTAATTGAAATCTAAAGTTTAATGAAACAAACTCCTGAATTTGTATTTTGGATGTTTTTTTTCTGTTTCTCTGAAAGATGTGATGATATAGACGTAAAACAGAGCTCAAAACTGACCTGCAAATAAAATAAAATAAAAATAAAAGAAATTCCTGTCTTAATGCGCAGATAGACTGAGTGGGATTTTGAACCAAGAGTTTAACTGCTTAACGGCTGTTAACCAGAAGCAGTCTGCGCCCTCCAGCGATTTTCACCCTCACCTTCTTCAATCTTTTCACCCAGGGCTTCTGAGCGCGTGAGAAAGCCGTCTCGAGGTCATACGACTCTCTGAATCCGCAGAACATTTTCTTTGGGAACGTCTCTTTCTGCCACGAGTGGATGCGCTCTCCATCTTCTGAAACCAGAGACTGGGAGATTGAGGTGTGAAGCGCAGACAGACGCTCAGTGGAGGAGAAAAAGCACTGCCAGGCCCGCAAGAGAGACCCGTACAGCGGCCCTGAGACAGAAAACACACACTTTAGTCAAAATCACAAACATCTGAAGCCCGCATGAAGCAGAAGCTGCTACTTTTTCATATTGTGACGCAGTTTCTAGAGAAACGCAATTTTCCTAATGGATAAACAGCTCTCTGTAATATTTCGAAATGCTTTCACTTTCATATTGGGCATGAAACTTTTACTCATAATTCTCTCTTCATATAGGCATATATATGGCTATTATACAACCATAATACACTTTGATATAGCCTAGTTCAGTGGTTCTCAAACTTTTTTCATCAAGTACCACCTCAGAAAAAAAATTGTCTCTCCAAGTACCACCAAAATGAGCAGTATTGAAATACAGTAGCGTAGTAGGCCCAGTAAAACAGTTAAAAAAAAAATGTGGCAGATTAACTCTAGGCTATATGTCATATATGGCATATTATATACATAATTTGTGATACATTTTGAAATGTGTGTAGCATGTACATGACATCAGGCATGTGCACACATAGGGCTCAACCTGTGCAGTGCACATGCCCTTTTTAGTCTTGGATAGAAAGTGCCCTTCCAAAATGATCAAAAGTGCCCCCGCGACGCGGCACACCTTCAGTCCCGCCCTCAGTGGCGTAGCGCAAAATGCGGAGGCCCCCCTGCAGGGATCGCTGACGGGGCCCCCTGATGAAGGGGGGGGGGATACGTCATGCGTCAATTTGCATATCACTGACGTCATCACGTTCTACCGTTTCTGTTTAACAGCCTATGGTTAATAAAGGGGTATTTATAATTGCACTACACTTTATATAAGCATGTTTATTTAACTAAATTTATTGCTGTTTGAATACAGTATATCATTACAGATGTGTAACGTTAGTGAATGTGCAGTAATCTCTCATATGAAATAAACTCAGACAAGTTCAGAAACTGTCACTAAAATATCTGTGATTGTGAACAAGAAAAGAATAAACTGTCCAATTAAATTGTTAAAATAAAGTAGAAGTAGATCGGTTTGACTGTACAAGGGAAAAACCTTCACACTGCCTGTGCTAAATCATTTGTCGTCGGTACGCAGAGGGGTGATCTGCTCTCGGGCTGCAGGTGGGAGAGGCTGCTGTACGAGGACTGACTGGGCCGCCTGTCAGTGCTGTGAGGCGGGGGAGGGGCCAGCGGCATCACACGCAGCTCGTTGAGAAGAGAAGGGACGGTACAGTATGGAAAAATGACAGTCTAAAAAAATCTCCAATAACACACAAAAAAGTCGCTAGGGGGGTCTGAAAAGTCGCTAAATCTAGTGACAAAGTCGCTAAGTTGACAACATTGGCGGCAAGCAATCAGAATGAAGTAGTCCACCGCTTGAGAGGTGTTCAGAGAACACAGACGTGTGAACTTTGGTTCCGACCACAGTTGTTCCCAACAGTTTATTGAAAATCGCGACGACGCGGGGCCCCCCAATCACGCAGGGCCCCCCCCGCGGTGCGTGCCCTGCGGGCCCGTCCGCTACGCCACTGCCCGCCCTTCAGTAGGCGAGCGACAACACCGCTCTTCAGTACGCGCGCATCCGCTCTGCACTCTGCCCCCTCCCCCCCCCCC